CCCACTCACATAATATTACATCCATGCATAAACACACACCCACTCACATAATATTACATCCATGCATAAAGACACACCCACACACATAATACTACATCCATACATAAAGACACGCCCACACACATACAACTACACCTTTATGCAAACACACACCAATAAAATCACACATTCACACTTACAAACCTACAGCACATAATTAATCCCACAGGCTCATCAAACTCCTCATTACCCGGGATCTCTTGGTTTGAATGGTATTTGGAACACAATCAAGTGATGCACACAAGTTGTTCAATAGAGGATAATGACAGAAGCGTGCTTCAGTTGGCTTAGCGGACGTGACTTCAGTTGGCTTAGGGGAAGTGACTTCAGTCGGGCTTAGGGGACGTGACTTCAGTCGGGCTTAGGGGACGTGACTTCAGTCGGCTTAAGGGAAGTGACTTCAGCCGGGCTTAGGGGAAGTGACTTCAGCCGGGCTTAGGGGAAGTGACTTCAGCCGGTCTTAGGGGACGTGACTTCAGCCGGGGTTAATGGAAGTGACTTTAGCCGGGCTTAGGGCCAATGACATAATCAGGGCTTCGGGGCAGTGACTTCAGCCAGGTTTCGGGGAAATAACTTTTGGAAATATTCAATGTACTCCCCTCGTCCTATCAACACACAAACACAAATATGAGACTCAACGCCTTACGTCGCAGCCCCCCCACCCCCCCCCCACACACACACTTTCGTTTATGTCTCGATTCACAGCTGCTGACCCCCGTCGAAACACGTTGAGCTCTGCATGCGCCTTTGCCTAATGATGAAATATGAGTGCAGAGTGGGCGCCTGCCAAATAACTCTCTTCCCAAATCCGTCACTTGACACACAGGTTAGTCAGAGGTTAGTCACACGTTTGTGTAACATTTACCAAAGCAGAGACTGACAACAGTCGGCTGCCGTAATGGATTTCATTTACAATTGAAGCTAATACATTTTGAGGGCGATGGATCACTGTCGCCACGATATGCAGATATTGTGACGATGCAGATTTTTTTTATCAGACGCGCTTGAGTGTCAGCTGCAACAGGTGGCCGTTGAAATAACTCTGACATCAAGAAACTGTCAATGTTGACCTTTATTCAAGTCGCGTGACGAACTCTTTGATGGCAAAAAAAAAATCTGTGAATAAGTCCAAAGTTGAAATTTAATCAAGACGTCCCCCGTATATACGAATTACACCAGCGACTACCCAAAAAGCTTTTTTTCCTTATCTCCAAAATCCAAAGAACTTCCATTTAATTTCAAGAAAATCTTTTTCTTAAAACCGAAATACATTTTTAAAATTTTATTTAAAAAAAAAAAATAATAATAAAAAAATATTCCTTACCATTTTACAAAAGTAAATTGAGAGTTCACTCGGATTTGTATATTTCGGCTCTTGTTAGGATTGTAACATTTTTTGTTGTTTTTTTTTTTTGCATTGAGAGGAAAAAAAAAGGTCCGAACAAATATATTTCGAAGCTTTCAGTGTATATTTCATGTTAAAAAAATCCGTGTAAATCTCCTGCTACAAACTCTTTGTAAATCTCCTGCTACAAAATCTTTGTAAATCTCCTGCTACAAACTCTTTGTAAATCTCCTGCTACAAACTCTTTGTAAATCTCCTGCTACAAACTCTGTGTAAATCTCCTGCTACAAACTCTTTGTAAATCTCCTGCTACAAACTCTTTGTAAATCTCCTGCTACAAACTTTTTGTAAATCTCCTGCGCTACAAACCCTGTGTAAATGTCATGTTACAAACTGAGCCATGTTAAGAACTCAGCATACATTTCATGTTACAAACTCAGTGCAAATTTCATGTTACAAACTCAGTGTAAATTTCATGATACAAACTCAGAGTAAATGCCATGCTACAAACTCAGTGTACATTTCATGTAACAAACCCAGTGTAAATATCATGTTCAAACTCAGTGTAAATTTCGTGTTACAAACTCAGTGTAAATTTCATGTTACAGGGATGTGGCAAGAAGGCGCCGTCTGCCGAATTAAATATTTTTGTCGGTAATCAAAAAATAAACCATTGACTCAACACGATATCAACTTTATGACTGTCGCTGGCCCAATAGTGCAGGTAAAATAGGAGTTGTCCCTGGCACACCTGTAATATCGATCACGTGAGGTGACGCTGCGTATATGCGAGGGTTTTAGGTGCAGACGTGGTCGCGTGGGCAAAGGTTTCTACCCCCCCCCCCCTTAAACTGACAAGACATAGCTTTACAATACACTTGTTTGTCTCATTCCTGGCTAACTGGTTTAGAGTTACACACATGTGGGTTTTAGGGTCAGACGTGGGCGCGGGGGCAAAGGTTTCTACCCCCCCCCCCCCTTAAACTGACAAGACATAGCTTTACAATACACTTGTTTGTCTCATTCCTGGCTAACTGGTTTAGAGTTACACACATGAATATGAAATACAGGGCTTGGGTGACTTCCAACAGTAGATACGTCATATTTCTCTGAGCGTTGTGAAAACAAATCATATATATATATATATATATGAGGCGCGGCAGGAGTGATTAGCGCCCGGGGACAAGATTCATTTAAAGCACTCTCCTTTTCTTTTTCAACTCTCAAACCCATTATTTTCATAAACAAATAATATCGAAGTACATTTTGGCGCCCCTAACTAGCTGGCACCCGGGGACATCTGCCCACCCCCTCTCGCTGCCCCCCTTCGCTATGCCTCTGATATATATTTATATATTTTTTTTTTTAATGTCAATAAAGTATGTGTTATTATTTTATTTTATTTTATTTTTTTTTATTTTTTTGACGAAAGCAAAAAAAAGTCATAAATTTGTAATTAAGTCGGCGAAGAAGTACCATGGTAGGAAATCTGTAGAAAGACCAAATGTTATATCCAGCAATATATATCCACTGAATATTTTCAACCATCCCGTATATTATTATAGTCGCTCAATCGCGATGGGACAGATAGATAGACACGAAACAATATATGACTCAAACTAAACGAGATATTGATTGCACCACGGCACACCAGACAGACACGGGTGACGTTATGAACAGCGCTGTCTTCGACGTTCACGGGGAGGTTCTAAAACTATTCAACAAATAGATTCAACTGTTTGGATCTCACCTTTTTTTTAAGGGGGGGGGGGTGTGATGGAACTTCAAACATTCTTGAACCTTTAAACAAAACTGTTCAAATCCGGCGCTTTAGAATTACTTGTAGTCAGCGGCTGGTGATCGTGTGGTGCCGGAATTAGTCTTCACTGTGTGTTGTGTGGCTAAACTAATGGTTGGGGAAGATTGGTCTTTGTGTTTCAACATTTTTAACAACAAGTTGATAAATGGCTATAGGAGAAAAAAGTACATCGTAACATGTAAAAAAAAAAAAAAAAGGGGGGGGGCAAGGTGAGAACAAGTATTTATCTCAAACATGTTTCCATTTACCTCTGTCTCTTCTAAATGAGGAGGTGCAGCTACGTCAGCCAGAGGTGCAGCTACAACTACAACATTCGCAGGTGCATGTGCATCAGCCGGATGTGCAACTACATCAGTGAGAGGTCCGTATGTATCAGCCGGAGGTGCAGCTACATCAGCCGGAGGTGCAGCTACATCAGCCGGAGGTGCAGCTACATCAGCCGGAGGTGCATGTGTATCAGCCGGAGGTTCATGTTTATCAGCCGTAGGTACAACTACATCAGCCGGAGGTGCATGTGTATCAGCCGGAGGTTCATGTTTATCAGCCGTAGGTACAACTACATCAGCCGGAGGTGCATGTGTATCAGCCGGAGGTTCATGTTTATCAGCCGTAGGTACAACTACATCAGCCGGAGGTGCATGTGTATCAGCCGGAGGTTCATGTTTATCAGCCGTAGGTACAACTACATCAGCCGGAGGTGCATGTGTATCAGCCGGAGGTTCATGTTTATCAGCCGTAGGTACAACTACATCAGCCGGAGGTGCATGTGTATCAGCCGGAGGTTCATGTTTATCAGCCGTAGGTACAACTACATCAGCCGGAGGTGCATGTGTATCAGCCGGAGGTTCATGTTTATCAGCCGTAGGTACAACTACATCAGCCGGAGGTGCATGTGTATCAGCCGGAGGTTCATGTTTATCAGCCGTAGGTACAACTACATCAGCAGAAGGTGCAACTACATCAGCCGGAGGTGCAGCTACATCAGCCGGAGGGGCGGCTACATCAGCCGGAGGTGCGGCTACATCAGCCGGAGGTGCGGCTACATCAGCCGGAGGTGCGGCTACATCTCGCAGGGTCGCGTCTACCACAGGCGGAGGTTCGCCTGCATGAGGCGGTGGCCCCTCTTGCAATGACATCGCCTCTTTCACCTCACCAACGGCGTGTCTGCCCTTGTTCTGATTAAGTTAATCCATCCCTCACACCTCAACGTCGGATGTGGGTCGTGAAGTAATGGCTTACAATTCAAGTTTCACGGCCGAATTTGCAGTAATGTTTATAATCCTTAGAACAACCTTGCGACACAAATGAACGTATCCAATATCACCACAACGAAGATTGAATCCAAGTTCAGAATCCTTGAGAAAACGTCTGTGGAAGAGCTATTGATTCATTTCATAAGTTTCCCGCAAAACATTGCTGACAGATACACACTTGTGATGAATAAATCCACATAAATAAATATATTTGAAGATATGTCTGCTTCTACGCGAGACTTATTATAACGAGCATGGTAAGGGGGGGGGGGGGCCTTCGGGTCTAGAGGATCAACGACACGCTAATGATATTTTACAAACTCTACCACAAGACCTGCGGGGATTAAGAATACAGACGCTTACAATATGTTACAAATCTGAATCCTTAACACAAGAGCTCCGGCTCAAAAGAATTAAGACGTATAATAATTATAATCTCTAACACAAGTTTCGACATTCTGCCCGATGCATTAGACTAAAACCATGTAACAACCTTTGCATATAAAATTGTGTTTTCCGATCAGCGACTCAATCTTTATGATACCTACGATAGGACAAGCCGCGAAACGTTAGATCAAGTGTTACTTTTAAAACACGTCGCCACTACTACGCAGGGTCAAGAAATAAGACAAGACCAGATATGTGAAAGGAAGCACACAGTGTCACTGAATAAACCGGATTGTATTACCGACTGCACTTTAACACACGCGTTATTTTCACGGACTAATCCACAGAATTAATACAAAGACGACTGGCAATGATACGAGGCGTCATTGGGTCAGGGATTCTCAATGATTTAAAAAAAAAAAAAAAAAAAAAAAAAAAAAAAAAAAAAAATTAATTTTAAAAAAAAAAAAAAAAAAAAAAAAAAAAAAAAAAAAACAATTAATTTTAAAAAATGAATGCATTTATTTATGTTTTAAATTTTTGTTGTTGTCTGTTTACGCCAAACGGAAGTGCCAATGGCCTTGAGAATGAGGTCGCTACGGTGTTCTCAACATTGTAAATTCTTTAGCCGTGACGGTAACACTAGCAATTTTAGAACCACGACCCCTGTTCTATCGCTGCAACGTCGTCACCGGCGCGGAGAGAAGCATTCTACTAAACAGAATGAAAGGACATCGCAAGCTGTCTTTTGGGCACAGAATCAGAATCACTAAGCGCCATCTCCGTGGTCATTGCTTTCCGTTCTATGCTGACAGAGATTTTCAGTGATCTCTGTTGTATACTGTATGTTTGAGTTCTGTGGATGAATGCAAGTGGGGCGTCATCCGTCTGTGGGTAGTAAAGCAGCGTTTCACAAACTTTGAATTTTTGGTGGATCGGCTGACGATTTTTTTTTTTAATTGCATGGGGGGGTGGGGCAGGTGCCAGATTTATTTCTTATGTTCTCTCTATAAATATTCATGTTGTGCGGGCCCCGCACCGGACCACCATTAGCGGAACGCTTTTGTAGAGTACATCGAAATAAGAGACCACTTTACAGAGGCGTAGCTACAAACCATGTCAAGGTTGTTATGTAACATCCTTTAGAAATTATTTTCTCTACAACTCAAAGATCATACAATCAAAGTGTTTGGTATTTTTTTTTATTTTTTTTTTAAATTTCTATCATTATTTCGTCATGAAAGTACAATCTCATCAGTGGTGTACCTAGGGCAACATTCCCCCCCTCCCCCGCACACGTGTTCCCTTTTTATTGAAAACTTCTGTAATTTTCCAATAAAATCCATCGATCCATCCCTGTGGTGCTACAGCTCACGTAGGGCTTTGACTTGCCTCACCACTTCCTTCCACTCAGACCATCAATCCCTGTGGTGCTACAGCTCACGTAGGGCTTTGACTTGCCTCACCACTTCCTTCCACTCAGACCATCCATCCCTGTGGTGCTACAGCTCACGTAGGGCTTTGACTTGCCTCACCACTTCCTTCCACTCAGACCATCCATCCCTGTGGTGCTACAGCTCACGTAGGGCTTTGACTTGCCTCACCACTTCCTTCCACTCAGACCATCCATCCCTGTGGTGCTACAGCTCACGTAGGGCTTTGACTTGCCTCACCACTTCCTTCCACTCAGACCATCCATCCCTGTGGTGCTACAGCTCACGTAGGGCTTTGACTTGCCTCACCACTTCCTTCCACTCAGACCAAACTAATGCTTTTCTTTCCCATGATTGGATTCCCAGCTGCCGTAGATCTTTTCCCCCACATCGTCCAATAAATGCTCCCCACCAATGTGAAGGAACGAAATCCCGCCAACCTTTTGTATGCCAGTTATTCTGTCACACCAACCTAACAGCCCCCCCCCCTCACCCTACCCCCAAGCCGAATGAGAGCTCTTCTCAGATTTGAATATTTCATGAGGGGCATAACATCTTTAATGAAGTCACGAATGGACGAAATGTTTCTAGAGCGGAAATTTCCACCAAGGTGTCATTACTGTAAACATCTAAAACTTTTCGTCGACACAGGAAAATCGGGCGGCATCACAGCGGTTCTCGACGAGAGTCAATCTACAAGTGACTTGACGCGGTTCGGAAATTGACGAGGTTAGGAAATTGTGCCAAGACCTGTTGTTGGGTGTTATGGATACAAGACACGTTCCTATAGAGTGTTGCGTTTCCCAGCTCTACGGAAATATTATTCATCGGACCGGAAAAAAAAAAAACAGTCGTGAGATTTATGCAGGCAATCCTGGACAACCTCACGATGGCGTGGCGCGGACAACCTCCCAGTGGTGTGGCGCGGACAACCTCCCAGGGGCGTGGCGGGGACAACCTCCCAGTGGGTTGGCGGGGATAACCTCCCAGTGGCCTTGGCGTGGATACCCTCCCAGTTTGTCAAGATCAATTACGTCGATAATTCATTTGTTTTGGGTCTAACACCTTAAATTGCTTTTGAAGTTTCAACCCTACATAACACCGGATTGAAGATGGCTGCACGTTTAAAAGAAAAGAGGGAGTAATGTTTTTTTTTTTTAGTGTAATCCTGCCCTGTAATGTTCATTTAAAATTTTAAAAAAAAAAAAAAAAAAAAAAAAAAAA